AAAAACTAAAAACTGGTTTAGTATTCGATTTCGATTGATTATTCTTTATATCATTGATTAAGAAACTCAAAGCTTAAATGCTTATATAGTTACGTTAGTGTGTGTATTTTATGATAAAATTTTTATCCAAGGGATCATGGTGAATTATTGTGTTTTTAATTGTAAATAAAATTTAGGAACTAAATCGTTGCATTTTTATGTTTTGCCAAAGGATCAAATTCGGTAATTACGTTTGCTGGTGCAGAATTAACTAATAATAACTTTACCTAATATAATTTATATTTAAGTTTGAACATTTTTAAGAAATTAGTAAAACATAATTTTTGCACAAACATAACCTTAAAATCAACCATTTGTATATTTGAGTCCTCTAAAAAACGCCGATAACTGCATTTTAAACAACAATATACCCACAAATTCATGGCAACACAATATTATATATAATACATAATATAATGGTATTTTACCGTTGAGTGGAGACTTTCTTAATCAACGCTTTTAATAATGCTAAATGCTGTTTAAATTTAGACGACTTATTTGTTTGACGATTTTTACTGAATTGAAATGTTTACACTATTCACGTTAATCACTACTAAAATGTGTATTTATTGTACCTAATAGGTAAAATTTATATTTACAGAGACTGTATGGAATTTATTTCTTCATTCAGATTAACACTGTTTATTGGAAAACCGGTAAAAACTCAACCCAGGATTTCCTCTCGAAATACACCCAACAACACAACAAATCGTGCCACGGTTTTTTTCCGATATTTTTTTAACATTTTCCGGCTTTATTCTCAAAAACACTCGTTTGTAACATAAGCGTTTGACAGCTGATTATTAATAGTATATTACACTACAAGGGCAGAAAGTGTGAGATTCCTGCACTGCGCGCCATGATGCCCGAGGCGAAGCCGAGGGCATCATGGCGCGCAGTTCAGGGCTCTCACACTTTCTGCCCGTGTAGTGTATACTATTTTTCTTGCTACCCGGCAGAAAATACGGAAAAAATTAAATGTATATATAAAAAAACTTGTGTCAAAATTAAAATCTGACGTTTAATTTAATTCTGACGTTTACATTCAAAATCAATCAAACTGTAGCGTTGTCATGGTAATTCAGCGATGCCAATACAGTAAAAATAAAAGGTTGTATTTTAATTAACAAATTACTACTTTATAACAAATAAAAGTACCATTAAACACTTAAAACAACATAAAAAGTAAAAAAGTAAAAACATAAATTGTTTATTTGTTGTTATAATTGCAAAATTATGGTTTAAAACTGTCATATTTTTGTGTTTCTCATGTTGGCAGTACGAAATTTGAATGTTAAGCACACGACTAAAAAATTTTTACTCCCGCTATTAGAGTGTGCGCGTATAGCTTGACCAATGCAAGAAACGTAAACTTTCTGCCGTGAAATCGGGGACGAAACAACGTATTTTGAGTCGAGGTAGTAAGAAATAGTATATTACACTACAAGGGCAGAAAGTGTGAGATTCCTGCACTGCGCGCCATGATGCCCGAGGCGAAGCCGAGGGCATCATGGCGCGCAGTTCAGGACTCTCACACTTTCTGCCCGTGTAGTGTATACTATTTTTCTTACTACCTCGGCCGAAAATACAACCCGGCCGAAAATACGAGAAAAAATTAAATGTGTATTTATGTACCTATCTCCATTTGAAGAGCTTGATAAATAAATAACAGTAGGCCGTGAATTCAGCGGTGCCAATACAGTAAAAATAAAAGGTTGTATTTTAATTAACAAATTACTACTTTATAACAAATAAAAGTACCATTAAACACTTAAAACAACATAAAAAGTAAAAAAGTAAAAACATAAATTGTTTATTTGTTGTTATAATTGCAAAATTATGGTTTAAAACTGTCATATTTTTGTGTTTCTCATGTTGGCAGTACGAAATTTGAATGTTAAGCACACGACTAAAAAATTTTTACTCCCGCTATTAGAGTGTGCGCGTATAGCTTGACCAATGCAAGAAACGTAAACTTTCTGCCGTGGAATCGGGGACGAAACAACGTATTTTGAGTCGAGGTAGTAAGAAAAAGTTTTACTTTTGTTACGATGATAACAGCCGAGTGGTGGCGCTACTAGCGATACTTCTTTGGCGTATTTAGAAGAGGAAAACATATATAACTTAAAATGATAAATAATGACAAGTCGTGTCAGCGGTGTCACAATGAAGTGGATTCCAGTCGACCAAACATTTTACATATTATAATATCAACAATGTATCCTAAGTATTCTAGCAATTTGAAGAATTCCCTAGAGGAATATATGGCCATGTATTGTATGTGTTTCGCATAAGTTTCGGCACATTCCCTTTTTCTCTGTAGTGCGAGTATTTTTCAAATAATTTCTTATTAAAACACATTTTTGTTTCTGAGCTAAATTCATTTCATCAAAGTATTTTTGTGAATAATTTTGCATTATCTCTAAACACAAATATTTGTTTAGATTGCCATCCAAAAAATAAGGTCCATTTATCTATCTTATAGTCCAATCTTTTCTTTTCTTTCTTTCAATTTTTAACAGTCCTTGTCCATATTTTCGCAACAACCCCTTAAAACTGTCTAACCACATTTGTAGCTAATTTTCACGTTTACAACAATAATACCAAAACCAGTGGCGGCCCGTGACATTTCATTTTGGCGAGGCAGAGGCAGGGTTTCGTCCTCATTTAAAGGCGAAGAAATTTTTTTAAACCCAACTTAAAAAAACTGACGTCGCAGTTCACAACCTATACTTAAAACTAAGTAAAAAACTTAGACTGTGGTGGGGAAGGAATCCTCTACTTTGTTTATTTTAAATAAACCTCATTTTTGTCTAATTAATATTTCATTGTTCAGCAAGAACCACGTGAAGGTCAACAATATCGGTACAATTTCTCACCGTAATATTCATAATGACTAAATTCACATAAATCACCAAGTTCAATTAACCAAACCACAAAAGAATCATAAAATAGACAAACTCATAGAAAAAGAATAAACAAAATATTGCGTAAATAACTACAGATTTGTTCTTTAAACAGTTCAGAATTTTATAACCAAAACAAACCTAAAGAAGAAATCTGTATTTATTTTATTGGTTACTGTGATGGCTACAAGATGACGATAGTGTTAAAATATGTTTATTTTGGAATAGAAATATAATTTCGATTAAATCGATTTATTATAAGAAAAATAATACCATTTATTATTGAATTTTGGAAAACGTGTGAAGTATAATTTATCTAAAATTCCGCAACAGTGTTGCCACAACACCTGCTTATTTCCTTGGATGTAGGCGTGCCTGCCTCGCGTATGCTAATACGAGAGAAGGAGACAACTATGATATCGCATTGTAATAGAATTGTAACGCCAATCGTGAGTCTAAATTAGTTCAGGCATGCTTCTGAGACAATCATCTAGCTATAAATATTAGTTTAAATTGCGGTCGTTTCAAATTTAAATAATTTAAATGTTGCTGTGGAATAGTATAAAATCAATCAATTTTATTGACCATTTCACAATTCATGTAATCCAAATATTAAAAATTTATAGTATATTATAGAAAGTACAATATTTAAATTAAACTTAATTTTTTAATTCTCTATGATGAGGCACTGCAATGGCCATAATTTCCAATGCTAAATATTTTATCCAGAATTTTTCCGTAAAATCAACATAAAATATTGATTAAAAAATCATTTACATAGGATAATGCAAAATCAATGTTCAGGATTCAGATTGAAATCCTATCCTGATATCTACACGGATAACCCTCCATATACTTGCGATACCGTGCGACACTGTCTGAGAAAACAACCACCTGCAACCCCAACCCAAAAGAGTCGGTCGCTCCCCTCGAGCGCTCCATCTCCCCCCCCCCCAAATTCGATTTGCCGGTGAGTCATACCTAACGTTCAGACCTACCTGCAAAGCAATTTTGACACACCGAGGTAGTGGACTGTGTGGCGGAGTAATGGCTTCGCATGATGTATTGCTTTGTGCCCGTTTTTGCCTGAAAGTAAACTTCTGACTTTATGGAGTTTCCTTCCTATTTGCGGGAACCGATGATGGGCTCTTTCTCTCTCTCTAAGCTCTCCCAATATTGATTCAAAAGGCCGAAGTAATGGCATACATTCTAATGAGAAATTGCGTACATTCCACTAAGAAAAGTTTTACTCAATTTTTATTTTATATATATAAATATATATATATACATATATATATATATATAATACATTTCACAACCATTAACACGTTTTATAACTTTTAAGGCGCTTAAATATATTTAATAATTCTTCTTCTTCTTCCTTGGTGGCAAAAAGCCTTAATGGTCTCGGTTTCAATGTATCATTTTGTACAAATCACAAAATACCTCGCTAAAAGGTCAAAGCTTGCGATATTGTCCAAAAATACAGGTATATTTCTATACCCGGAATACAATTTTGTCCCTACCCTATTAAGCGATCCCCACACTAGCACCAACAAAACCGAACTCATTTAATAATTGAATAATTATGATTAACTTCAATAATTATGATTGACATTGACATTTGCAAATAGCGTTTGTACAGATGTAAGCAAGTTTCCAATCTATGTGGGGTATTATCTTTGGTCATGCCCTCTCTATAAGGATGAGAGTATACCAAAATTATTCCCCATATATGGGGAATAATTTTGGTACCAATTTATTTTCCCCCTCGAATTATTTAATTCTTATTTTCTAATTTTCTAATTCTTTTTTTTCGTAAAATGCCTATTCCCTGAGATATTTTAAAGTTTATCCTCCATATCAGGCTTTGTTATCTATGTCTCCAATTCTTCTTCTTCCTCCTCCCAACCATAAACCAACAGTCAGTTTGGTGGATGCGCAATGTTGTCTGCAACGCAGTCTGTACTTTGACTAGGGCGCATTTCATACCGGGACACCCTGTATATACTTTAAGGTTAGCGAAAAATTGACATCAATATATTTTTCCATAAAATGTCTGCCTATCAAAGTTTTTTGCTATTCATTTGCATGTCAACATCCCTCATAAGACCGTAAGTAAAAGTATTCTTCAAAACAAAAATAACCAGCCTTATTTTAGATCACAAAATAAAAAATGTCAAATGGAGACATCCACAATTACCTGCAAAAACATTACATTAAATGCGATACAGAAAAGCATTGAAATTGATGTCCTGCAAGAAAACGTTATTAATCTAAACATCACCAACAGTTACGTAAACTTAATCCAAAGAAAAAATTTTGTTAACTACAAAAATTTACGGTATCTTTCCATTTGTCATTCTCAGTTGATGTTCGTTGAAGAAAATGCTTTTTTGGATCTACTGTACTTAGAAGAACTGGATCTATCAGATAATTTCTTGAGAAGAATAAGCACAAATTTATTTCCAGATAACAACAAAATTATTTCCTTAATGGTGCCCAATAACTTGATAGAAGACTTGGATGACTTTGACATTAATAGATTTCCCCATCTTAAAAAAATTAATTTATCCAACAACATCCTAGAATACCTGCCATCAAACCTAATAAACAAAATGGCTTCGAGCAAGGATTTCATCATCGCTGTGAATAAAAATCCTTTCAATTGCAGCCACGTTAAATGGAAACAGTATCTGACAAACAGACCGCAATTCTGCAATGAATTTAATTTGGGAAACACGGAGAAGCTTAAATTACAGCCAATAGTGGCGCCTTTGTCGGAAGACAGCGAAAACAAAACAATCCCGAAGGATTATTGCATTAAACATTGCCACTTTTTTAATTGCCTTATATGGACTTTTTCGGGCATCTGGATCGGAATTATTGTAGGCAATGTGTGCAAGATTAAGGATTTAATCTTTTTGAAGAAGAAGAGAGTGGAGAATAAGTTCACACAATATGGTAGGTATTGAACGATGGGACCTGTATTTTTTCTTTTTGCTTAAATTTGTTTTCTAACCTGCAGGAAATTTTTGAAAAATCGAAAGAAACATCGATTTTTTTCTTTTTATGATTGGCATTTTTTTTGAAAATGTGATAACTTGGTTTTGATCGTTACATTTTTTTAAAATTGTATTTAAATTAAAAAAAAATGAGAAAATTTACTTAATTTTTTGTTGTATATATTGAGATGTCTCCCAAGTGAAAATGATTATTTTTTATTTTTGGTTGTTTCACTATTAGTCTAGAATGGGGTTTTTGGGAAGTCACCAGGTCTAGAAATAACATGACATAAGTGGTTCTGCACTAATGCAAGAATTACATCTTCACGGAGGTTAGGATTTCGTATGTTTCTTTTTAAACATCCCTTTGTATATTTGAAATAAGTTATTGTATCTTTTGACACCTTAATATTTTAAAAAAATACAATCGTACATACATACATAAAATATTTATAAAATTAATGAACTTAAACTTTTTAATTATAAAACAGCAACACTCTCATCTGCATATAAATTCTAACTGACCTTCAGGAATCACATGCATCTATAATGTCGTAAACAGAGGTTTTTGCTTATTTAAAATAATTAAAGCGCCATCCGTTGCATAAAATTTAAAGCAAAAACAGATTCACGGAGGATAGAATCAATTTTTGTAACACCTACATAAATGGTTATAAAAATTATTTCTTTTCATTTTTAATAATATTTTATATTTGATTCGATTGCTTTGGATGTGTTTAATTTACTTAGTGAACTGATATTTTTAGTATGCTTTTACTACTTTAGATATTTGAAAACATATAGGTTAACCTAGAAAGAGTAACAGTCACGGAGGATAGGTTTTAGTCTTTTAAATCATTGTAAAAAATAATTAATTGCGGTTAAAAATCTGGAACCTGAGCTGTAATATCTACTTAATTATGAAAGATCAAAACACAATAAAAGTGTAGGTCAAACTTATTTAGTTTTATTAAATATCACGGGGAGATTCACCCGTATACAAAAAAAATTAAGTATATTTTCTCCATTTTTTTAAATTGTTTTGCTAAACAAAAAATGTGGCAATGTCAAAATTTTGACCTCAATTTTTTTGCCTTTAAAAAAAACATAAGTGAAATAACTTAATTTTTTTTGTATGTAATAAACATTTACCTACAATTTAAGAAAAAATTGTAAACATTAAAACATTTTTGGCCAAGTTATCGCATTTTCAAGAAAAAATGTCACTGGTAAAAAGAAAAAAATCAATTTTTTTAAAATTTCCTGATATTTTTTAGATTACCTGAAATTTAGGTTGGATAAAGAAGTAATTCCAACAGATAAGGACCAACCTGAAGCTAAATATTGATTATAATAAATAAATAATTACCAAATAAGTATTTCTTACGTTTATTTTAAAGAAACAATTAATTTTTAATAATCTAGCTCTTCTATTGACGCTGTTTCCCGATATAAAAATCCATTCAAACAGGTACTTGAATGAAAATTCGAACTGCTGTCAGAAGTTAGATTTGTGTAGGGATAAATCGTGCTGATTATCTTATTTTTGGCCAGCATGTTCGATAAATGATTGAAATGTCCTCTTAAGAATAGCGCGGGATTGTCAGAACCCAAGCGATTTAAATACTGATACTGATGAAGCGATTTCCTTATATCCAAATCATTATAGTTCCTCCAATAGTTGCTCTCGTTCGGTGAAGAATTGGGGGTGATGTTTTTTCTTAGCGATTCCAAAGAGGTTTTCGAAGGCTTTATGGAGGAGAACGATATTTCGTCGTTTGTTACATCTTCGGCTACATCGGAAAGATCAGGTTTACTCGAGAAGAACAAATTCTGAAGTTCCTTTTTCGCGTTGTTTTGTTCCGATTGGATATCGCTGCTGTGATATTCCGTACCCAGCGTGTAGGTTTCGGTAGAACACGCGGATAAAGCCACAGACACTTTGCTGTTCACAACGTAGGTTTGGCTATCGTTTTCCGTACAAGAATCCTGAAATATTTCATTAATATAACTGAGAAGTGAGGTTGAGATGTTATAGTACCTTGGTGGTTTTCATCAAATTTTCGTTGATTGTTTTTAGTAAGTACACGATTTGCGACTTATTTCTTGCTATGACACTTTTAAAGCGGCTTTTTTGGTTTTCCAATGTGGTGTTTAGATTTTGCAGCTCTAAAAATCACAAATACAGGGTGTTTCATAATATATGCGCAGGACTTCAGGATGTGATAGCTCATCCAAAGAGATGAAAAAAGTCGCTATTAACTTACGCTCTAAAATGCACAATTTTCGATATACAGGGTGTTGAAATTTTAGAAAAAAATACGTTTTTTTCGAATATCTCCGGAACCGTTTATCGTACAAAAAACAGCTTTTGTAAGCATTTTCTACTCAAAATAAGCTATGTTTTGTGCCAGAAAAATTTTTTTTTCCTCATAATTGGTGGAGATTTTCAAGGGGTAGCGGGTGTTTTTCTCCTTAACTTCTACGCCCCTGAAAAAAGTACGGTTTTGAGAGGCCCATTCGAACCGCCAATGTTTTCTACACAAAAAAGGTACTCTTGGTCATAAGCTCTAAACTTGACCGTTTTCGAGAAAAATCAACTTTTATGTTTAAAAAATAATTTTTTTTTACTAATTAAACAAAATTTATTTTAACATTAGAACAAGTAACAAAACCAAACCATAATTTCAAAATAAAAAATGATTCAAAAGTTGTCTTTGCTAAATTCTCCAAACCGTAAAGGTAACGCATTTCGCACATTTCAGCATTTGTGTAAAAAATCATTTTTTATTTTTTTTTAATTTTGCAATTATCGTTTGGTTTTGTTACTTTTTCTAACGTTAAAATAAATTTTGTTTAATTAGTAATAAAATTTTTTTTTCAAAAAATTGACCATGTTTTTAAACATAAAAGTTGATTTTTCTCGAAAACGGTCAACTTTAGAGCTTATGACCAAGAGTACCTTTTTGTGTAGAAAATATTGGCGGAATGGGCCTCTCGAAACCGTACTTTTTTCAGGGGCGTAGAAGTTGAGGAGAAAAACACCCGCTACCCCTTCAAAATCTCCACCAATTATCAGGAAAAAAATTTTTTTTCTGGCACACAACATAGCTTATTATGAGTAGAAAATGCTTACAAAAGCTGTTTTTTGTACGATAAACGGTTCCAGAGATAATCGAAAAAGATTTTTTTTCTAAAATTTCAACACCCTGTATCTCGAAAATTGTGCATTTTAGAGTTTAAGTTAATAGCGACTTTTTTCATCTTTTTGGTTGAGCTATCACATCCTGAAGTCCTGCGCATATATTATGAAACACCCTGTAGAAAAATCCAAGTTGTAAGTTATTGTAGAGTATTGCATAAGTTTACCAAATATTTTCAAGTTCTTTTCTTTAATGGCCAAACGATGCTCTGAATCGAGGGAACCCTTATCGCACTGCACTCCAGCGTCCTTCAGCATTGGTTTAACATCTTCCACTTGAATCTTGAGTGCGTTATTTTCTTGCATCAGCTTTAAGGCATCGACGGACTGTTTTAATTTAAGCTGCCGAACAAACGGTAAACGTTTAATTAGTGGGGAGTTACGGTTGGTCGCCTGGGCGCAGATCGATCTTTAATTTTCCTGGGCTATTTTCAATTCGTAGTAATTACCAACAAGTGGTGCGAAGTCTGCTTCCACTTGAGCTTTATAAATACCCACACCTACTGCTTTCAAAGAGTGGCATTCATAATTTTTAATTTAAGACGCCCTATTTGCTATTTTTAATACACATTGGAGTGAACAAATATTAGAAATATTCCCAAACACCAAAACAAAACACAAAGTTTTATTGCAGCTCTACTTTGTGCTAGTTGGTGTTGGGATAATGAAGCTTTATGATTATACTTTATGAGCGACTTTAAAGTATCAAAGCCTTTTTAGCCCTATGGTGGTTTTTTTGAAGCTGTATAGCTGCTGTTAAAGTAGTAGTTTTATGGAGCCCTTGTATACCTTAAATTTTGCTACTTGGGTTAGCATTTAGATTTAGTTACACTTTTCTTCTGAAGATGCCAACATCGTTGGTGAAAATTACTTAAAGCACTTTGTATTTTGTTTTGGTGTTGGGGAATATTTATAATATAATAAAAAATGCAGAACCCTGTAACTATAACCCCGAAAACTGTTACCTTTTGCAATTCACCCTCCAGCAGGGTCATAGAGTGAGTGAGCTTCTCTCGTTCGACATAGAGCCCTTGCAGCTCGTTCTGCAAAATTCGGCACTGATTAACTTTGTAAACGTATCGCTTGACTGCCTTCGCGTTGATTTGCAAGTCGAGCACACTCAAGATCTTCTTGAATAAATCCTTCTCTTCCAGCGCGTAATCTTCTGGAACGGTGAAATCGCGAAGCTTCAATTGCTCCAAAGCGGTCTTCAATATCTTAACCACCGATTTTCTTTCGAATGTGGGTGCGATTGTGTCGGGGATCTTCGTTCTTTGCTTTATTGTACTCTCAAGAATGCAGTAAGCTTGACTTTTCAGTTGGTTCACTTTTTGTAGCACCAGAGCTGAAAACGATACGAACACTGATTTTGAGTTACGCAGTCTGTTGTTGTAAGTGTAAGGCAAACCTTTACTGTCTTGCGCAAAGTGGACGTGTTTTATTTTTTTATCCAGAATCAGGATCTGTTTTACTTTTGTTCTTAGCAAATGTTGTTGTTTTAATATGTACTTTATATCGTTTTCCAATCTAAGCCTTTCCATGTGTACGCTGACCAGTACATTGCAATCCAGTCGTTCTTTAACTGGTTTGGAGTAGACCTGCTCAACTAAAATCTACGTTATTTTACCATAACCAAAATATTATCGTTTATTTCAACCTTTTTGCCAAGAACAAATAAAAATTGCTTGAAGACAATGGACATATTTCAAATTTTTATTTATTCTTGGCCAAAAGGTATATGTGGCATTCTTATTTTGGTCCAAAAAAGGGGATTTTTTTCAATATTCGAGATTCCTACACTTTATATAAGGAAAACTGGACACCTTATTGGTTAAAAAACGTTCTTTCTTGGTACAAAAAATTATTACCAATCGTGTTTCTTTCATCTTCCTGCACCATCAGCCTGTCACAACAAATCCTGAAAATATTCAAGCTTTTGGCCAGAGCCATGGTTCTATACATCAGTTTGTTGAAAATTTCTATGTGTATTGGGTATAGGTTGAACCAGGCTGGTTGAGTTTGCTGCTCGTTTTGGGTGGTCATGAACATAGTTTTAACCATTCGTTTGAGTATTTGTTGCTGGTTATTCAGCATACCGCTGATTTTTTGGTCGATTCGTAACATTTTTTCGTAGAGGCTGTAGGATCTTGTTTTTATTCCAGTTTCGTTTCGGAATTTTGTCATCGCAAGACCTAAGGGTATGCTTTCTTCTATGACATCTCCGCAACACTTAAAGTTTAAGATGTATATTATGTAAATTTTTTGTACGTCTTACTTTTTCGGAAAAACCCTGTATTTTTGGTGGTTTTAGCTCTTTTCTGATGTAATATTTCAGCTGCAATTTTTGATTTTGAACCTGCTTCTGTAATAATTTAATAGCTCTATTTTTTTCATCCAGCAGAGTAAGAAGTGATGATTCTGCAGCATATTTTTGCTGGAAGGTGTCAAAAGTTTAATATCTATTTTTATAAAAAAAAATATTTACCTTGACGTTAGACATTTTACAATAATTTATGATTCCTCTATATGAATTTTTTTATATTTTCATTTTTAATTTACCAATGAACACTGACACTGACATATTCTGTAGACATGTTTTACATTAAAATATTTATACAGGATGCACCAAGTATTCTTCTGTATGTCATTTTTTTTATTAAGTTGGTAGCTTATGCAAGTTTTTAGTATTTTTAGTATTTAAAAAATGGTACTTCTGCGAAGACCTTAATTAAATACTCTGACACTGTCAAATTGACATTAATATTTATTATTGATAATTTACTTGTCAATTATAAATAAAAAGATAATTATGCCAAAAATAATAGAAACGAATTCGAATGTAAAAGCCCTTTTGAGGGCAAAACTTCATTTTGATAAAATTATGCCAAATGCCACAATAAAAGAAAAAGTACATCGCCTTATGGACATTTTTGGAGTAAAAAAGTAACGAATTTGGTTTTATAAATATTACATCACACATTATTTTCACATTATTCACCATTGGACAACATTTACGTTCACAAAAAATTTTAATTTCTTTTATATAAATTCTTTTCAAAGCGAAGGATATTATCCGCTAGGAATACTTTTTTTTTCTGGGCAGTAAAGCAACCTATATTTAAGTACTTTTTTATATGATTTTACTCATCCAAGCACCACGAAAGCCAAATTAATTGCATTTTTAACTACGAATTTTGACAACTGTTTAATTTAACCTACAACATGACCTACAATAATTTAAACATAATCACAATTAGATTTATAACTATAGCTTAGATTGTTTTAATTTATCAACCAAACCCCTAAATTCGCAACGTTGCCACAGTCCAGATAAAAAAAATAACTTTACTGAACTATAAACGAATTATCAAAAGAAATTTTAATGTTAATAAAGATATTGTTAAATGTAATAATAACAAATCTATTTAGTTAATGTTAGTCCCTGGTACGTCCCAAATATTTTCTGTAATCATTTCATCAGATTTACAGGTCAACGATACCTCTCAAACGACTTTAATTATTCCTAATTGAAGTAAATAAACTTCAATACAATTATAGGGGAAAGGTCGCTTAAATTTTAAAGCTCTTACTCACTACACAACCGTTCAATCTCCACTTAAAAACAAACTTAAACTTACCATAAGGTTTTATCCTCCAAATCCCTGAAACAGCAAATTAAAAATCAATACAACTTTATATCAAGTAGTCAGAGGCTGTCAATTTACAAGATTTAAAATAAGTGTCAAGTCAAATCACATAAAAATGGCTGCAGCTCCTAAACAAGCCCCTGCTACCATCAAAAAGCTCATACCACTATTTAACAGAGTACTCATTAAGCAACACGAAGCCGCCAAAAAATCAGAAGGTGGAATAGTTTTACCTGAAGATACCAAAGAGGCGTACAAAAAAGGTAAAAGCTTCCATATTTCTTTTTTTTACTCGTATATTACGTCTCGAGGACGAAAGGACGAAACGTAAGAAAAATGGGGATTAAAATGTCAGCATGAATAATTTATTTTGATTTAAAATTGTCTTTTCGTATTTTTAAGACGTCGCTCTTATTTTATGATTTATTTTGTGTTTTGTTAATTTTATATTTAAATATACAGGGTGTAAACTCTTCAGTACTCTATAAAAATTAATTAGTCAAAAATGACAAGTTTAATAGTTATTAGTGGCTGCTTTTTCACTTGTACCATGGTTAACCATGAAATACCATGGTATCCCAAAATTTACCAGCCAATTCTTATAAGAATTGGCTGTTAAATTTTGGGATACCATGGTATTTCATGGTTAACCATATGTAAAATTGTCCCCTGAATTCGAAAATACCGTCAAAAATGATGAAAGTGCAGCAGTTTTTGAGATATATTAAATGAAAAATTGACTATATCTCAAAAACTGTTCTACTTTTTTAACTTTTGACGATATTTTTGGATTCAAGGAACAATTTTATGAAAGAATTGGCTGTTAAATTTTGGGATACCATGGTATCCCATGGTTAACCATGGTACAAGTGAAAAAACAGCCACTAATAACTATTAAATTTGTCATTTTGGAGAGTAGGGGAAAAATAATTTTGGTCTTTGTTTTTCGGCATTTTCCAAAACTACAGTGTGACCCATTTGTTTGTGACCCCTGTAAAATATTTATTTATTATGCGATTGTAGATCTTGATAAATTGTATTTTTGGAGCAAAAAACGCCATATTTTTACAAACTATGTCAATTTTTAAGAGTAAATTTTTAAGAATTCATATAAGCGATTTTTTTAAACAAAATCTAAGCACGGCACTGGAATTACCATCCCTTAAAACGACCCTGTACTAAATTTTATCAAGAATTGTCAACAATTTTAATAATTATTGTCTTTTTCTTCTTCTTTTTCATTGTTCCACTAGTGGTGTCTCAATTCTAAGTGAGTGTGGGACAAAATACTTTTTTCTTTATGAAGATGTTGTAAAAAGCCTTTGGCAACCTAGGAGTAACCATGTAACAAAATTTAATAGTCAAATCAAAACGTGGCTTTAACTTTTGTTGAGAATACAAAATATTTTCAAATATGCCGAAGTGCCTTTTATTTTGGACAAAAATCATTTTATCTACTCCTACATTGACGAGCTGTGACTTTATGGTGTTTTATTGACGGGCTGAAGTTAACAACAGTGGCTTTTCGACATTTTACGCCACGGGCTGAAGTTAGCTTTATTATAAATTGGGAAAAAATGAGGTTAAATTCGGGTGACAGTTGACAGATGTCAAAATTTTAACAAATAAAATTGGCTTTAAATTCTGTTTTGTGTTCATCGTAGATAAAGTATAGTATGCAACTCGTTTATAAACTTCTCTAGACACTCGGTTTTATTAAACACTCGCTCGCAAGCTTCGCTCGTGCTTAATTAACTAAAATGGCGTTTATCAAACTTGATACATAATATACTATTAAAAACATAATTTAATTATCTTACAAACTTTTAGGCACAGTTGTGGCAGTCGGTCCAGGATCTGTGAGAGACAATGGGAATCAGATTCCGGTCTCTGTCCAGCCTGGAGACGATGTCCTTTTGCCGGATTACGGCGGCACCAAAGTGGAGTATGGCGGGAGTCAATACTTTTTGTTTAGAGAATCCGAAATCCTGGCCAAAGTTTCGTTCTAATATCCAATGAATTGTTTCAACAAGTAAAAATAAAAAAGTTTGGAAACCGAGTCTTGTTTTTTTAAATCCTATTTTTAATTTTGTCCAATTTAGAAAAAAACAAAAGCAATCTCAACTAGGGTTGGGACAGTTGAAATTTTCAAATGAAAATTTCAACTTTGAAAGTTTCAAACTTGAAATATTTCATTTAGTTGGAAAAGTGAAATTTTTAAAAAGTTCAAATGAAATTTTCAATTCGAAAATTTCAACATTGCCTGTGAAACTTTCAGAAATTTCATTGAAAGTTTCGCAATTTACTGAAAATTTCGCATAAATTTCACATGCGGCCTCCCCTGGGACCTTTAATAATAATTTACAACAGATTCCGAATCGAAAAATAAGAACGAGTTATCAAGCGTCTGGGCGTTTTTGTTTAGTGTTGTTACTTATATGCATAAATTAATTTAAATAATTTAATTCAGTTACCAATTTAATTTGTAAATTAAATCAGAATTTAAAATTTTTTTAAAAGTCATGTTTAATTTAAACTTTTACTTTTGCTATAATTGCATCGGAAAACGGATAAAAAATGCCGTTGGCTCATAAAATTTTGATGAAGTTTCTTCAATATTTGTAAAATTTCAGTAAAATATATAAAAATAATAAATATATATGTATAAATTTAAAACAATGAAATTAGCACAATCTCATTAGCTTACCAAAAAGTGCTTAGTTTTAGTAATTTTAAAAATATTTTAAAAGGAAATCTCAAGAAATTTGTGGTAAACATAGGTATTTACTATTTATATTATTGGTGCAGGGGCCCACAGAGGGGTATGAGGTAAGAGAGGCAATTTGCCATGGTCACCGAGTGGGCTTATTTCAATATTAATATATTACACTTAAAGTGATGGAAATTTATTGAAAGTTTCAATAAATTTCATGAAATTTCAGACATTTAGGAAATTTTAATACATTTCATAAATGTCGTGAAAATTTCAAGTGAAATTTCAAGTACAAGCAAAAAGTGAAATTTTCCCAACCTTAATCTCAACCCAAGTTGCGAAACTAAAAAACAGAAATTTGTTTTTTAAAACTTAAATGTATATCTGGAACTTATAATAATAATACCTGTGTAGCGTGTACCACAATAATAAAATAATACAACAGTTTAAAAAAACTGCCACCCACCACATCTTCAGTAATGTGATATAAAACGAGTACAGTTTGGCAACGCTGGGCGAGCGACAGAGGCGGCTCGTGATGGGGAACTAAAGTGCAAGGCACACCTCCAAAACTAATCGATACGCGATATCGCGTGGCGTTTTTGGGCGCACTCGGCCAAACGCACACTTACCCCAGACGGCTGTCCGTCGATCATCCGAAATGCAATGCAAAACGAACGGCAAAACCGTTTTTCGTTTTTCTCTATCGTTAATATTTCGCCTAGCGTGAAATAAGGCCCTTTAAATTCCGCATCTGTACCGTACATGAATGTATTGTTCATAACCAAGAAGTGAAATGGGCGAAATGAAAACTTAAAAAAAAATTTGCCTTTATGCTGCATTTAAATTGCATATACATATAAAAATATAAATATATATGCACGGAAAAAAATAATCGGTAAAGGCTACCGATTGGCAATCGGTAGCAGCTACCGATTGCCAATCAGTAGACTCTACCGAAAAAATCGGTAGACTCTACCGATAAAATCGGTAGTCTCTACCGAAAAAAAATCGGTTCCCTCAACCGATTTTTATCGGTAGCAGCTACCGATTATTTTCGGTAGAGTATACCGATTTTTTCGCTGCAGGCTACCGAAAAAATTGATTACCAATTTTTGAAAATTTTTGTATTTTTTTAGC